TTAAAGGTACAGAACTCCCACTGTGAAAACACATATTTATAAAATGACTAGACAACACTTACAATGAAAGCTGACCTAATAAAACAGTTCATTGTTTTCTAAAACAGCTTTATTCAATATCGTATTACTGTGCCCTGCCCTCTGGTAAAACATGATCAAATTTTTATTCTGTCCTCATCCCTACACTGCTTATTTATTTCACTCACCCATTCTGCCTGGTCATTACGACTGTAAGCTCTCTGGGGCATGGGCTATGGAATTTACCAGAGAATAAACTTTCTAAAGCAATTTTTAAACTTACTGACAGAATTCTACATTAGGGTTCTAATTCTCTATACAATCACTAAGATGGTTTAAAAATTCTAGAACAAAAATTGTATTCTATATTATATTCAATAGGTATTTTCAGGAATTTCTATAGGACCCTACTGGATTTACTATTATCTGCCTAAATACTGCCACTCTGTGCAGGTTGCCTAGCTAGCTATATGTCACTCAGGTGCTTGGCTGGATGGTTTTTGCTCACATGCGCAAGGTTTAACTGATCGCCATATGTGGGGTTGGGAAGAACTTTTCCCCAGGATCAGATTGGCAGTGACCATGGGGGTTTTCCACCTTCCTCTGCAGCATGTAGCATGGGTAACTTGTCAGGATCACCTGGGTATATCTCACTTAATCAATTCCCTGCCATTGCAGGGGCCCCGGCATTGGTGCACCTCGGTCCCTGCTATTCTCTACTGTGTCACATAATAGTAATTCTTTGGTCTAATTTTGGTTGTTGGGGGCTGGGGGCATGTGCTGGAAGATGATGGTGGCCTGTGATATAAAGGCGATGCTCTGGTAGCCCCATCTAGGCTTAAACTCTATGTCATTGTGAAATTGTCCTTAACTCCCTTTCCCATCAAAGGGCCCAGTGTTACAAATACTATGCTCATGAGTAACTTTATCCTTGAGAGCCAACCCACTGAATTTACTCTTTAGGATCACATTGCTTAGTCCAGCTGAACTGCTGCCAATGGGTAAAGTTACTCATGTGCACCAGTGTTTGAAGGATTAGGTCGAACACATTTTGTTTAGTTGGATAAATGGCAAGTGGGGGGTTTGAGTCAATGCAAAATGGCAGAAACCTGAATTCATTCAGCTTGGCCTCATCAGTCATTTTATCCAGCATGTGTCATGTCTTTTGCATACTGACCCCATAAATGTTTTTGCATCAGGTGCAAAAGAAGCTTTAAAAGCAGAAGGAAAACAAATCTCATCTAAGGGAACCCATCAGAAATTAACGAGAAGGTTGTTGTGCTACAGAAACATTTACTGCTTAGCGATATTAATAATTTTTCCCAGTCTTGAGTTACTGGGTTGGGCGCGGGAACTTTTCCCTTGAGACCTGACATAAATCTCTAGTACTGCTATTGTATATGACACTTGTCAATAAAAGTGAAGGCAAACAACAGACTGCAGTAGTAATTACCTCAACCTAGTTTATTCCACCCTAAAATATAACAACACAGGCTCCTGTGTCTGGACCAGCATGAGTTAGATAAATAGTGCTAAAATGTTCTTTATGTTTCTTCCTTTCACCATGTTTGTATTTATTAAAAATACTGTCCTACTCCCTCAGACCTAGGATTGATTTGTATTGCATAGGACATTTTTTTCCTTGTGCTGATGTCTTTCAAGTAGCAATGAAAATCATATACAATCCTACTAACACTAAACTAATGTACAGAAATATGAGGAGAGAGAGGGATAGGCCTGGGTAACAATGCCCTGGGTCTGGTCTTTTGCAGGGGCTGAACCCAAGACCTGTGGATCTAAAAGCATGCAGTTTTACTGCTGAGCTAACAGGAACAGGTTTAAAGGCAGTCACAGACTCATGAACCTCTTTACATGGTCCAGTCTCTAGAAGGAGAACAAGACCCCGTACAGCCCAAATTAGGAAACCAGACCTTGAATCTCCTCCGTGTCTGGAGAAATCTGGTTCTAGAAATCAAACTTCTTGACTCAAGCCCATCTCCAATTTTTTTAAAAAATGGTATTTCCTTCTCAGTCTCTTTCAACACAGGGGAACAACTGTGCTAAGTAAAACCAATTCAGGAGAAATCACGCTGTAATCTAGCCCCTCTAGCTAATCTACAAAATGGTTCTGCTGCACAGCTGTGACTATGTTGTATGCAGACCTCTTCACAACCATGTTTGGGCTTAGCCATATTTGAAAGTGATTTCAAATACAGTTTCAAGTCCTAGTATGGATAGGGCCTTAGTGCAGGCTTTGGCAGCCAGCTGATTCTGCTATTATAAACATTACAATAAAGTTACATCATCAGTTATCCATGATGTGCTAGGGAACAGTGTTATAAAAACCGTAGTGCACTGAACATGCCGTAACATAGTGTGGTCTTGCCTGTGTTTAAGAATGTTTTGGAATCAAGCGACTGTCCTGATCTAAGTTACAAAGGGTACATCTTCTAACCTGCATGATGATGTCATTCCACTACGGAAGACTTCCGTTCTGATATTCAGATATCTAAAAAAAGAAATTATGCTTATGTGACCCATAATATTCTGCAATTTCACTGCTCTTGTAGAGTAGCAGAGAGACCGTTTGGTTGTATGGAAAAATCCAGCATAGGGTAGTGTGAAATTTTGCATGCTGGCCTACAGTAAAAATCAGAAGTCACTCTTTCCACAGGAAACAAAAGCAACCAGAACAAAAAGCCAAACTAATGAGTGACATGGCTCTCCCACGCATTATTTCTTAGTAACACCAAGAACTGCACACGTCGCTACGATATTTTGTCATGGATAAAACTTGCATACTATTTACAAAGTATCGTGTACAACATGATGTTGGTCCCGCCAATGTTTTTTAAGCAAATTTTAGGGTCAGGGTTGTGATAGAGGCCCAGAATTGCAACATAGCGAAAGAAGATTAGGCCTCACCTGGAGTATTGTGTCAAGTTATGGGTGACATATTTCAGGAAAGATGTGGACAAACTGGAGAAAGTCCAGAGAAGAGCAACAAAAAATGGATAAAGGTCTAGAAACATGACCTATGAAGGAAGATTGAAAAATCTGGGTTTGTTTAGTTTGGAAAAGAGAAGACTGAGAGGGGACAGGATAACAGTTTTCAAGTACGTAAAAGGTTGTTACAAGGAGGAGGGAGAAAAATTGTTCTACTTAACCTCCGAGGATTGGACAAGAAGCAATGGGTTTAAATTGCAACAAGGGAGGTTTAGGTTGGACATTAGGAAAAACCTCTTAACTGTCAGGGTGGTTAAGCACTGGAATAAATTGCCTAGGGAGGCTGTGGAATCTTCATCACTGGAGATTTTTAAGAGCAGATTAGACAAACACCTGTCAGGAATGGTCTAGATAATATAGTCCTGCCATGAGTGCAGGGAACAGACTAGATGACCTCTTGAGGTCCCTTCCAGTCCTATGATTCTAAGAAGAAGGAGAAAACTCAAAGCATCTAAAACTAACATACAACAAATATTGTTATTCTCATAGTGGCCCATACAATGGAAATGGAGCGTTTTTTTTGTTGTTGTTTTTTTTCCCCATCAGGTAGCCCGTGATTGGGAGAACTGCAGGCTGGAAAGCTAGTGATGCAGCTGCCAATCTCTTATTTAAAAAACAACAACAACAAAAAACAGCATTCTAGAGTGATGGTCCAAACCACTACACACTGTAGCAATGACAGCTTGCAATAGTGATTTGGGTTGTTACTGCAGAAAACTGGACTACTCTTTTATAAGGGTTGACTACCACTAACCTTGCCAATAGCCCTTTGATGAGTTGGGGACCAGGAAAGGAAGCAAACCATAACAGCAATATGCACAAAAAAGGAAGAAAGAAAAAAAACCCTAAAAGAACGACAGAACTAGAAGTGGACAGGAGAGGTAGAGAAAATGAAAAGAAAATAGCCAAAATATTGGAAGGGAGCATGCATCCTTCAAACTATCATGAGGGATGGGAGTGTCTCCAGCAAAAACCAAAAGCATGGGGAATCATTGCCTTCCACAAACCCCACCTCCTCATTCCACATGAAAAGCTAACTCTGAAAATGTAACTTTCAGTCCCTCCGATGCGTAAGTGCTGAGAATCAAAAGAGTTCCCAGCAGCTTCTTTAAAAGCTTGTGTGCTAGAAAAGAACAAAAAGCCCATTGTTTGGATGGAAGAATCAGTCTCTATTTCCACCCCCTCACTGACTCTGTTGGTTCTTTTTGCTAGCAGCTGTTAAAATAGACGATAATGGAGCATGCTGGTGTGATGCAGCTGTTCCACATGTTATAAATAAGGGCCAGTAAGCTTATCTTATTTTTAGCATCGTGAAAAAATTTAAAAAGCCACAGAAAATCCCCATTTATTTTCTCAAATGTAACCTCTCTCACTCTCCCCTTCAATAGTCAGAGTTACATTTAATGGACAAGACAATTAGGCTACTCAAAAAAAAAAAAAAAAAAGCAACTTTGTTCCTTCTTGTCTGATCTTATTTATCTGATGCTGCTATTAGTGAGTGGGGATTGAAGAAAATCATACAACTGTGCGAACAGCAAAGTGTTAATTTGTGTATTTCTTATGAAAAGTATTTGATTGTGCCACCAGAGCCTTTTTCCAGTACATTCCCCAAGGCTGATGAATGTGTATTTACCACAGCAATCTCATAGGTGTTATAAAATGCTTTGTTGTGAAGTGTTTGCAAAACACTTTGAGATTCTCACATGGAAGGAGCTTTGTAAAAGCCAAGGGCCAGATTATTATCTCAGTTCAATAGAGTTATAATCCAGAAGTATTCAGAGTAGCAGCCGTGTTAGTCTGTATCCGCAAAAAGAAAAGGAGGACTTATAGCACTTTAGAGACTAACGTAACAAAGAATCTGATTCTCAGTGTTATCAGCCACAATACTCAAGCTGTATAGTTAACAGCTCTAAGATGAATAATAGAATAGTATGTTTGAATGCATAAAATTAGGCCAAGACAAAGCCATAGCTTACCTGTTTTCAGGATCTGACACCGCCATGTTGCGTGTCACATAGCACATTTTGAGTGGAATTGTTTTTCTGTCTCTGTGGATGGTGAGAGAAAGCTGCGACAGTGGGTCAGAGGATACACCTCCCAACCGTGGAGATTCAGGTGGAGGTGTTTCCCACCCAATTTCTGAAACTGGAGAACCTTTCTTCACATACGGGGTTGCTTCTCGCATGTACTTCACTATAAAAAAAAAAACAACAAATAACACTCAATAGATGCTTAGCTCCAATGTGAATTCTAACAATTATGATTATTTATTGTTTCTATTGGGCCAGCGTCATTGTGCTAGATGCTTTACAACCCCATAGGAAAATATGGATCCCACCCTGAATAATTTACAATCTACTTCAAAATGACACAATAAATTGGTCTGGGGCTGGGAGAAGGAGAACAGAGGTAACAGTGAGAAGACTAGGTAGATTCACAGAGGGACCATTATGATCATATAATCAGATCTGCATAACACCAGTCATAGAACCTCACCCCATAATTTCCATATCAAGCCCATAACTTTTTTTGCACTATAGCATCTCTTTTTAAAAAATAATCCAGCCTTGATTTAAAGGCATCCAGTCTGTCTTGACTTAATGACTTCAATCCCCTACACCCCTAGGTAAATTGTTGCTATGGTTAACTACCCTCACTATTGAAAATTTGCACCTTATTTCTGGTATGAATGTGCAGTGTGGTTGTAGCCATGTCAGTCCCAGGATTTTAGAGAGACAAGGTGGGTGAAGTAGACCCAAAGAGGAGCTCTGTGTAAACTTGAAAGCTTGTGTCTCTCACCAACAGCAGTCCGTTCAATAAAAGACACTACCTCACCCACCTAGTCTGAATTTGTCTAGTTTCAGTTTCCAATCACGAGATCTCCTTTTTCACATTAGATAAGAGAGCTGTCTACCAGGCCTCTCTTCCCAATGTAGGTACTTGTAGACCACGATCAAGTCACCTTTTCACCTTTGTGATGATTTGGAGAGATGTCTGTATAACCTATGAATTCTGGGTGATACAGTGCTATGAAATAGCATCATGAAATTCCTGTCTTTTTGAATGTGAAATTCCACCCTGGTTGGCATGGGCTGTACCACATCCTCCTAGGACAGACAATGGGGTGGCACTCAGAATTCAGTTGCAAACACCTTGGAACAATGAGTGAGCGAGAGCCTAGGAAAATCAGACCTGTGGCTATGTCTACACTACCATTTATGTTGATATAACTTAGGTCAGTCAGGGTTGTGAATAAGCCACCTCCCTGAGCAACATAAGTTATATTGACCTAAGCACCGGTGTGGACAGTGCTACGTCGGCAGGAGAACAATGCAGCTGCGCCACTGTAAGCTCTCTAGTGTAGCCATAGCCATGGTTTACACTACAAATGATTTTACGAATAATGAACGACATAAGTTACACCGACCTAAGTGCTGGTGTAAACAGCGCTCTCTCTCCTGCTGACACAGCTACTGCCTCTCACGGAGGCAGGAGTTATTAAGCCAACGGGAGAACTCTCTCTCAGCGGCTTTGAGAGTCTTCACCAGAAGTGCTCCAGCAGCGTAGCTGCATCGGTGCAGCTGAGTCGCTGTAGTGTAAACATAAGCTATGTCTTTACTACCACTTTTGTCGGTATAACTTCGGTTGTTCAGGGGTGTGAAAAAAACAATTTTCCAAGTGTAGACGTGGCCCAAGTATTTTTTTTTAAATGGATTATTTTCAAGCTAGAGTTTTTCAAACTACCTATTGAAAATAAGTTCCAATAGGTTACTAAACTGTGTGCTGGTGATGTACCAGCACTTGGCAGCCAAAAGAAACTTTGGGACCAATAATGCAGCTACTGCATGTGTGCAATTCCCACGCTCTTCAACGGGAGCGATGTGCCTAGGGAAGCAATAGGAATGGGCCCTCTAAAATTAAGAAACGAAGAGAGGGGAAAAAACTGAAGTTGGAGTCAGACCTTTGGATCGAAATCTAAACATGAAGCAGAAACATTGAAATGTGCATTTAATTCCCAAGACACTGGGAACTAAAGCAAAGACTGTTCCCTTCCCCGTGCCAAGTGAGTTTCCATGCAATGTAACGGTGACATCATGACAAGCTGCTGCACTATTTCAGAAGCCTCTGTGAAAAGACTGAGTGGAAATGTATTACCAGGAGAAGGGGGTAGAAAAACAATATGCTTTCCAGGGATCCAAGTATCAAACACAATGCATTCTCTCTCACCCTCCCCACTCTCACTCACTTGCTCATTTTCACCAGGCTGGGGCAGGAGGTTGGGGTGCGAGGAGGTGAGGGCTCTGAGGTGGGGCCAGAGATGATGGGTTTGGGTGCAGGAGAGGGCTCCAGGCTGGGGCAGAGGGGGTACAGGAGGGGGTGAGGGCTCTGGGCTGGGAGTGCAGGCTTCGGGGTGGGGCCAGAAATGAGGGATTCAGGGTGCGGGAGGGGGATCTGGGCTGGGGCACGGGGTTGGGGTGTGTGTGTGGGGGGTGACGATTCTGGCTGGAGCGTGCAGGCTTTGAGGCAGGGCTGAGGTTTGGGGTGCAGGAGGGGGCTCCAGGCTGGGGCCAATGAGTTCAGAGTGCAAGAGGGGGCTAAAGGCTGAGGCAGGGGGTTGGGGCACGAAAGGCAGTTTGGGGTACAGGCTCCAGGTGGCGCTTACCTCAGGCAGCTCCCAGGAAGCAGCGACATCTCCCTCCGGCTCCTACGTGGAGGCACGACCATGTGGCTCTTTGCGCTGCCCGCACCTGCAGGCGCTGCCCCCTCAGCTCCCATTGGCCATGGATCCTGGCCAATGAGAGTTCTGAGCTGGCACTGGGAGTGGGGGCAGCGCACAGAGCCACTGTGGCCATCCCTCCACCTAGGAACCAGAGGGAGATGCCGGCAGGTTCCTGGGAGCCGTGCGGAGCTGGAGAGGGAGCCTGCCTGCACCACCAACCAGACTTTTTACAGCCCAGTCAGTGGTGCTGACCAGAGCCACCAGGGTCCCTTTTTGACCAGGTGTTCCGATGAAAAACTGGACGCCTGTCAACCCTAATTAAAAGAGAAGCAGCTACAGAAAGCACTGAGTTTTGGTTTTTGTTTTGTTTTTTCCAACTCTAAGGTCTATAATGAACCAAAACCAAAAATACATGATAAAAAGGAATAGGAAAAGCCATTGAATAGTACACAAGATCAGCTGTAATCCTGAAGTATTAAAATCTCATTCATTTTATAGTTTTTTCTTTAAAATGAGTGTGTATTCATAATACAAAATTTAATCTGCAGGGACTGAAAAAACTACTGATTACATAACTATGTAATGGCGGTAACAGTGTATTGGTAGACTAATTGCAGTATAAAACGGTCTAAACTCATCCACTTGGTACTACAACCCAGCTCCAGAGAGCCTTGTAGTCTGTACTAATTAGTAATCATGCCCTTTTGCTGCACTGCAAAATAACAACTGTGGTCAAGCAATTAAAATTCCAATCTGCAGAACCAACCCCTCCCCTCTCCTTCTGTGCATCCTTCCCCTCCCCCCCCCAAAAAGAAAGGTAGAAATGGCAGTCAAATGAATTAATCCACTGACATAAGTTCAAATACGTTTTTGTTGTTGTTTATAATTTGGAAGGCAGGCAATGAAGCTTCCAAAAAAAGCACTTAATTAATGCACAATTCTGCCAAGTCCCAGGTCCCCACAATTAAGTTTTTGTAGCTTTCCACAGATGACAAAAGAAAGCATGCCTCTTATATCTTATGAGGGAAATACTACAGGCAAATCTTGTCAAGTCTTCTACCAGACACAATAGTGAAGAGTCTGGAACTTCCATGGACACATTCAAATTGTTTTGCTTAAAAACCAAAAGAAAAGCCTTCAGTAAATCTTCATTACCACGGAGGCATGGTCAGGAAGTGGAGGTTCTCAATATGAAACTGAAAGGAACAGCGTACCCTTATCAGCTCAAAGAGAAAGGATCAAGACTTTACCTTGCAGGGAAAGACAGAGGCAGTGGTGAGCTGGAGCCAGTTCACATCGGTTTGCTAGAACCAGTTGTTAAATTTAGAAGCCCTTTTAGAATTGGTTGTTCCAGGAGGGACAACCGGTTCTAAAAGGGCTTCTAAATTTAACCGGCCAAATTTATTAACCAGCCTTAGGCACTGACTCCATGGGTGCCCAAAGGGAAAATATGGTGGGTGCACAGCACCCACCGGCAGCTCCCTGCCCCACCCCTGGCCCCAGCTCACCTCCGCCTCCTCCCCTGAACGCGCCGCCCCGCTCTGCTTCTCCCGCCCCTGCAGGCTTCCCGCAAATCAGCTGTTCGCGCGGGAAGCTGGGGCAGGCTGAGAAGCAGGCGGCAGCTTCGCACTCAGGCCCAGGGAGGCGGAGGTGAGCTGGGGCAGGGAGGCGCGAGGAGGGCTGCCCACGCCGCAGTAGGTAACCCGGGGGGGGGGCAGCCTGAGTGGGAAGCCGCCGCCTGCTTCTCAGCCCTCCCTGGCTTCCCGTCAAACAACTGATTTGCGGGAAGCCGGGGGGGGGGGGGAGGAGGAGGGCGCGGAGAAGCAGAGCGGGGCGGCGCATTCAAGGGAGGAGGCGGAGCGGAGGTGAGGTGAGCTGGGGCCGGGCGGGGAGCTGCCAGCGGGTGCTCTGCACCCACCAAATTTTTCCCATGGGTGCTCCAGCCCCAGAGCACCCATGGAGTCAGCGCCTAAGACACCACTTTTGATGTGATCAGTGGGGGGAGCAGCCGCTTCCCCTGCTCCCCCCCAGTTACACTCCCCTGCCCCTAGGAGCCAGAGGCACCTGCCAGATGCTTCTTGGGAGCTGCTCCAGGTAAGTACCGCCAGGACTCCCCACCTCGCCCACTGGTCCCTCTGGCTCTTAGGGATGGGGTGGGTACCCAAAATGGTGGTCCACGAGACCCTCCTGCCCGGTTCTGGGGGCAGTCAGGGGACAGGGGTGGGGGGTGGATGAGGCGGGGTGGGCAACGACCGCCTCGTGGGGTGAGGAGGGAACTGGCAGCTCATCACTGGACAGAGGCCATGCAATCTGTGTGCATTCTCTTAAAGAATTCTTTGTTGATTGCCTACTGCATTGGCTGCTTGGTAAACAAAAAATACAACCAAAAAGACTGTTTTCAAAGTTGTGCAAATGCTAATGAAAAAATTCAGCCAAACAAGAAACTTCATTGAAAACAGTCATTCAAACTTCC